TCCTTTTTAAGATTTCATTCAAAAAAGTGGATTTCTTCACTTTCGTCCATCCTTTCTTAATCTTGTTGATATTATTCCATATTCTCTCGTATAATTCAATATTTAGGATGATTAGCTAAGTTTTCTATTGTATTGAATGATTGAGGAACCTATTTTTGTTTATTTCAATTCAAGACAATTAATTTAGGTATTTCTTGATTGATTTTACATTCTCATTGCACTATTTAATTGTTTGATAATTAATTGCATAGTTAGTTACTTGTTGTAGTATAGAAATATCCACAATAAGTTTAGAACGAGGTACAATCAACACATGGGCAATAAATATTAGGAATTATATCTATGACATGTGCAATCATGTAGATAACCTAAACTAAATGCATGATTTTTATATGAATTCGGATTAGAAATATAATCGGATCATGTTAATCATAGGTTGGTGTATCTTGAAAAAGACCATTTAACTTATTAGCGTTATCGATTGTAAAAAAATGCATGAAATTAATTAGATTATTAATTGATAATTGAAATAGATGGAAATATGGAGAATCATGAATCCAATACAAGAATTCACATTCGATAAAACCACAATTTACTTGCTTTATTAGTATGGATTAGAAATAGTATAAACGACCACAAAATCACTATTTTGATGTCGCTACTCACTTGAATTTAATACTAATTATTGAACTGCATTTTAAACATTATTTCTCAAGGGAACGACAACTCAAAACTCATTATTTCATACACTTGCGGGTTTCAACGTAATAGAAGTTCTTCTTAACTTGTTCAATTTGACTTTGTTCCATATTGTAACATTCATCCAAGTTTTAACATTGCTCTTCCCCAAATAGTATGACTTCCTCTCATCACCCATTTCGAACTCAATAATATACACTTCAATCTCCTCATAAGATTCAATTACAAACTCATTGTTTGAGCAAACGATAAAGTCGAGGGATTGCATCCTAATTTAATCTTCTTTGAATGCTAATAATTCTTTTTTACCCTTTATAATTAATTTTTCGATATTTTCATGCTCTTCTTCTTTAATTGAAACTTTTTTGAGTTCAAAATCCATATCCAAAACTCTTGGCAAAGAAATGTTGTAGCGACCGAGAACTTT